GGACCGAAACCGACCGACCTGGACCCGCAAAAACGACGGCCGCGACGCCCTCTCGCGAACCGAAAACTGCAAATTCCTTAATCGACGTGTCAGGGTAGGAGGTCTATCCACCTCCGATATGTTCGGCATCATGGTGCCCTTCCCGGGCCTCGGGGACTGTCGAAAGCGACTCAGGATCAAAAACCAGTCCCCGGGAAGGGGTCCAGACCCCTGGGGGTCGACGCTGCGAAAGAATCACGGCGCCCCAGGGGTCTGGGCAGGAGCAGCGGCGAGCCCCCTCGGAGCTGCTCCTTACCTCGGCGTCTCGACTGCATCGGCACACCACCCTGCCCTCTCCCCCCCCATTTGGGGAGGCCTGGAAATTGGCACCACAGGGGGCTGCCTCCACATGGGGAAGATGATCCCAGATCTCGGTATTGGTGGTATTACTTCGGTCACCTTGGAAGCCAGAATATAACCACCATCGCCGAGGTCGGCATCCTCTTCCCTCGGTGGAGGCACACCGCCGATCTTGGTGTTGGCGTCAACCTCTAAGCCTGCAGCATTTTGGACGCCCGAATCGGGCACGGAACAAGGGGGCACGATGCCCCACGGCAAGCTGAAGGGGCCCTGGGACACACAAATAAATACACACAAATGAAAAGATTCCCCATATTTTCCCATATGTTCTGTTGGGGGGCGGAAAGATACGGATACGTGTTGTCCCCGGACCTCTCTTGGGGTGCGTTCTGACCAGAATTTCGGAGCGAATCCAGCGGTGACAACGAGGATTCCCCAGGAGAACCAGGAAAGGCCGAAAACGAGGGGTGACAACACGTATCCGTATCTTTTTCTCCCCCGATTCTGGGGTCCTCGTCTCCCCCCCCACTTCCCATACTTTCTCATACTGTCCTGGGAATCGGCGATTCATCGTGTCTGTGTGCTTTTTCCCCTCCTGGCAAAGCGCGGTCCCAAGGTGGCAGCGGGGCCGCCGTGCGGCGGGCGGCCTGCGGGCCGCACGGGGACACAAAGGCCCGCGGCGGCACCACCGACGGCGGGCCCCGACCAAAAAAGGAGCCAGAACGTGCTGGAAACCTGGAAATGGAGGAGGAGGAGGAGAGGAGGAGGAGGAGGAGCACCAACACCAACACAGGGGGGTGCCTCCACAAGGGGGAAGACTATCCCAAATCTCGGCGCTGGTGGTAATAGTTCGGCCACCTTTCGAAGCCAGAGAACGTTACAACCATCACCGAGACCGGAATCTTCTTCCCTCGGCGGAGGCACCCCGCCGATCTTGGTGTTGGTGTCAACCTCCAGGCCTGCGAAATTTGGAAGGTGGCCAGGGGATCTGAAAATTGGGAGGTGGCCGGGGAGTCTGACCTGGATGGGCGGATGAGCCCCAGGAAAGTCGCTCAGCATCGGCAATTACCTGGAACCCCTCTCTGGGTCCAGCTGGTGCAGCTCTTCACCTGGGATGCGTTTTTGACGGTCCCGGGGCCCGAAAGCGCCCCCCAGAGGCAGAAAAAAACAACAACAACAACAAAAAAAAGAAGCTCGAACCCAGCACCTCAGACCTCGCCCCACCCCTCCTGCTCGCTGGAGCTAGTGCTGCGCCACCGCAGACCCCCCGGCCAGCTCCCACAAAAAAAAAATGCCGTCCATCTGCGTGCCCAGTCTTTCCGCACTCGTTTCGATCGTCCCCCCCGTCAGGTGGCGGCATCCGACCCCTGCCCCCACCAGACATCGGCTCTCCTGCACCGATGGGGGGCGAGGGTGGGGCTCATGTCTCGCCCCCGGAAGACCTGCTGTCGGTCTCTGTGCCCATGTCGGGGGCGCGCAGACATGGATTGGCGATCCATGGATTTGGCGCGCGGTCGCCAAACCCATGGACCGGGGGAGGTGCCCTCCCCAAAATGCGGCTGGTGCCGCCTCGCTCGGCGGCGGAAATCCGCGATTTTCCATGGAAACGGAGCCTGTCGCTCATCCACGCCCCCTTGCTCCACGTTTGCCGACCATTCTTTTCGTACCTATTTCGATCGTGCTCCCCCCCTGGCACCAGCGCCGCGCGCTCCGACAGGGCCCCAGGCGAGCGAGGGGTGCCAAGCGGCGCTGCCAGGAGCGCGTCGGCGCCGCGCCCCCGCCCGCGCCCTCGTCCCGCGCCCTGGGCGGCCCTCTCGGGAGCACAAAAAAAGATACCGATGCCGCTGCTCTCCGAAACACTCCCAGGTGCATGAGCCCGTTTTCCATTACTCGCGACTTCTAAGACGAAGCCAGGACGAGGATCAAATCGGGTGAGGATGAATCGAGAATCTCTGAGACCCGGCGGCTCTGGAGGATGTCTCGGGCGCCGTGGCCTTCTCAGGGCGCTCCGGAACGGGAACGTTCTGGAACGGATTTATCCTCGTCCTAGCCCCGTCCGAACAACGCCAGTGACAGGACCCGCCCCTCCCCCCTAGCGTGACTGGCCGGCCGCTTTCCCTCCCGCCCCCCCCCCCGCGGAGACATGTGCGCATAGCGCCGTGGGCTGGTTTCCTCAAATTCAAACTTTGAGCGTTTTTGCGATTACCGAGGGGCCCTGCGTGGCTTGCCTTCAGTTTTCCCAATCGCCCTTCGAGTAGTGATGTGAGCACGCCTTGACTGCAAGGCCACCGGCCACCACCACCACCACCACCACCACCACCCCAAGCCACGCCCGTGATCGACAGGGCATATATATATAATTATATGTATAAATAATATTGAAAAATATAGAACAAAACACACACACACACACACACACCACCACCACCACCACCACCACCACCACCACCAACAGCAGCAGCAGCAGCAGCAGCAGCAGCAGCAGCAGCAGCAACAACAACAACAACAACAACAACAGCAGCAGCAGCAGCAGCAGCAGCCAGCAGCAGCAGCAGCAGCAGCAGCAGCAGCAGCAGCAGCAGCAGCAGCAACAACAACAACAACAACAACAACAACAAAACGGCCCCCCTTCGGACCAGCCTCTCGGGGAGAACCTGGCCGTGGCGACGAGAACCCTCCTACTGGACGAGCAGCGAGCACCGCCTTCTCCGTCCTCCGGCCTCTCCGCCTCCCAGCGCTGGCGCACCGCGGCCGCCTCCGCGCGGAAGGCCCCGCGCCGCGAGGGCACGAGGCACAGGCTCGACCGCAGCCGCTGCGCCTCGCGCTCCAGCCCGCCGCCCGCCGCGGGGGCGGCGGGCTCCGTCGCCACCGGCTGTGCACACCACCAGTACTCGTGCGCAGAGGACAGGGCCGCCTCGAGCCGCTGCACCTCCTCCGGGCCTCCCGGGTGGGGTCCCGGCGGGTGGGGCCGGAGGACCGCGCCGCGTCGCCGCAGCGTCGCCCGTGCAGCCCGGCGATGGAGCCCAGTCTTCTCCGCGCTGGCGTCGCCGATGACGCCGATGCATCGCCGACGGTTCACAGGTACATCGGCGATGCATCGGTGACGCATCGGCGATGCGGCGCGATCCTCCGACCCCACCTACTCGGACCCCATCTAGGAGGCCTTTACCTCCGCAGCCTCGTTGGCAAGGCGTTTGGTGAGCATCGTTCAACCGATCCTTATCCCCACCAGCATGGCCTTGGCCCCACTGGCCAACTTGCCCCCCCAGGTGGGGATTTGAGTCTGTTCGTTCGGTTTTCGCGGGGCCCAGCTGTCCCCACCCAGGAGGGCGGGCTGGTGGGGCTGAGATACAGTCGGGGCGTTAAATCAGCAACGAGGCCCCTTGTTTCCTCAAATTAAACTTCGGCTTCCTATCGGAAGCCAAAGGAACACCTAAGCCAAACGGTGAAACAACGAAGGAACACGGAGCCCCTCCCAAACGAGAAGGGCTCCTTCTTCAGCGCCCCGACTGTACTATGGCCCGGTGGGGACGGGGATAGGTCAGACGATGCTGCGGAAGCAGCCCTGGGTCGCCTCGGCAGCCCCACGGGTGTGGCCCGGGTCGGCCTCAAATCTTCCACAGAGCTCCGAGGCCCTGACCCGTGTGCTCCGTGCACAAACTTCTGGGGCCGGCGGCCCCAACGCTCGAACGCAGTGCGCGCCGTGGGCCCTTCTTCCCCAATCAGCGCTTGCACCGAAGGGGTCCTGGCGGAAGTGGAAAGATTTGGCGCAAAACTTCCCGCCGATTCTGGCAGCGGGCCGGGGTCCCGGTCCTCGGGTTCCCGGTTCTTGGCTCGGGGCCGATTTGGGTGGATTCGGCTACACGCAAGAGTGGCCCTGGGTAAGAGTGACCTCTGGTGCGCGGCCTTTTGGTGGCCGCGGGGGGGCCAAACCTAAACCTGGGCGCGCAAGCCGCTGCTCCTGCTTCGTTCTCAGCCACCCGGGGGGCCCATCTGTGCCCGCACCAAAGGTCACTCCGGCGAAAGGTCACTCTTACGTCTAGTCGATGGGTGCTGGGTTCCCGGGCTCCCAGGTTCCCGGTCGACCTCCTCAGCGGAAGCCATCCACCGATTGGGGTTCTGCTCTGGTGCAGTTTTGTGTTCCCCTTGGGCCCCGAGTGGGCCTCTGGCCTCTGGAGGCCCCATCCGAGAAAAGCCGGCCGCCGATGTTTTTCAGGACGCCTGGGGCCCGGCCTGGGCCATGCCAGGTACTGCTGATGCTGATGGTGATGAGGAGGAGGAGGAGGAGGAGGAGGAGGAGGAGGACGAGCAGGAGGAGAAGGAGGAGGAGGGGAGGAGGAGCAGAGGAGGAGGAGGAGGGGGAGGAGGAGAAGGAGTAGGGGGAGGAGGAGGGGAGGCCTCCAGAGGTCCGCGGAGGCCCCCGCGGAGGCCTCTGGACGTTCCCCAAGAACCTCCCAGAGATGCCCAAGCAGAAGATGAAGAACGAACGACAACCTCGAGCCTCGAGCTTTGACGATCGAGGGCCGGCGGGGCCAAATCGGAGGTGTGGCGCGAGCTCCCGCTGCAAACACTGCACGAGACCCGAAGACTTGACCCTCCAACTAATGCTGGGACCGTCAGAAACGGCGGAGAACCGGAGTTCTGGCAAACTCGAGTCTTGC